GTTTGTGGTTTGTGGGTTTTTGCCTCACAAGTTACAATGGTATAGAAACATACACAATCAACTCTAAGCCTAGTATGGCTCCACCAAAGTCAAATGCATGTTATCACCAAATGTTAGAAATGCGTGATGTTTCGTATCTGAGGCAGTTTCTCGACTTTAGTCGGAGCAGGATTCATCTTTATCTTGAAAGCCTGAAACAATTGTGAGCTTAAAGTAGGTCAGAAGATTTCCACCCTTAAGGATAGTATCGAGTGAAGACCTTGCTCTGGAACTTAAGTACTCATAAGTACTTTAAAATTAATATCTAGGCAAGAGTTTACTGGTTTCCTAGCAGAACTAACGGCTTGCTGAACACCAGGTACAATTCCACAGGCTTGATACTTGGTGACATGCTGCCATTTCCTGTTGTAGATGTAGTTCAAGGGTGAACAGATGAACTATGCTGTATCGATGAAAACCCTTGGAAAAGGGAAACCTAAATGTGTATTTGCTCTAAACCCTGAGTAGCCCATAGGGTGTGCTCCCCTTCCTGCAGGGCAGGGCTTGGGGGTCAGAGCTGCGCATGCTGCCACCTTGTTGGGGAGCTGAGGGTATTCTGAACGGGAGCACGTTCTGAAGGGAGAGAGAGTTTTGCTTAATTAAAAGCATTTCCAGGAGTCACTTTTCTCTTGCAGTATAAACAGGGGTATGATTCTGGAAACTGGAATTCAGAATATACACACATTTTCTGAATATGTATTTAACTATTTTTTTAGTAGCTTAAAAGCTGTTGTGTTTATTGACTTCAATAGATTTTAAACTATTATTAGAGAAAGGTGGTGTTTCTCTCACAAATTTTTAAGACTTTGTGGATGCGATCTTATATATCTAGCAAAGACAAAATTGAAATGCTTTTGTAAGTAAAGATTTAGAGTGTAGCTCTACTTACAACCCAGAACTCTCCTGCACATTCTGGTTATACTGTATGCAGGCTAAGAAAGATGCAAACATTTTTGACAAATATAGATTCCATTTTTTAGACTTGTTTATGAACGAATGTCTTACCTCTATGGTAGTGGGTGTTACACTAAAGCACTGCTACGTTTTCCTGTAAGCCAGAACTTCCTATTCGCATAAATTCCATAAATTGAACCAAGAAGTGTATTCTAATCAGGGAAAAAAAAAAGCAATACTTAACATGGGAAGCCCAGAAGCTGTCTTTCACAGCTTCTTTATCTGGAGGTACTGTTTTTATCCAGATAATATTTTTAATGCTGATAAGCATTAGCTTGTAGGGAAGAAGTCCTTGGGTACTAGACGATTGCCTTTTGAGTAAAGATGTTTGTCTGTATCACCAGAGGGCTCTCGGAGCTAGCGGTTCGTTGGATTGCTTTTGAGGTGCAGAAAATCTCAAGCAACTAGTTTCATTGAATCCAGCGGGCTTGGGCGAAGCTCAGTACTTTCTCTAAAGGTGGCTGTCACAGCAGTATAAATAAAAAGAGAAACATAACTATGCTTTTGGGGCTCCATGCATGTATGCCTAGCGGGAGGAGTCCCCTAGGTAGGTCTTTGGCTGGTAGCCAGCAGTAGTAATCTGCTAGGAGCCCTTTTCTGTCGTGGACTTTTTTCCAGTTACTACGTGACTTACTGCTGTGTGGACTGGCAGACTTCCTGTCCATTCAGTACTTGTTCCTTATCTTCTAGGTTTCTCTAAAAAGTGTTGACTTTTGCCTAGTGCTGTCTGTCTTTTGTCTAATGTGTACATATTTTTTTTAAAAAGTGTTTTTAGAGCTTAGCAGCCAAAGACTTAGCTAGGGGACTCCTGCTGGTCATGTGCATGTAGAGCACGGACCCAAGAGTGGCTTCTCTGTGATGTACACCATCAGAGAACAGGAGTTACAGGTAACTTTTCTCATGTGTAGTTCCAAATGGTATTTATATTCTTTAAGGGAATCTTCAAATGTGTTCAGTAGACTTGCACTGAGTGGAAGTTGAGATTTTTTTGCTTGTGATTCTTAATGTTCTCAGGCACTGCTGATTTGATCTCTTTATTTGTGCTAGTACAGAGCAATTGAGCCCACATTTCAGTCAACTTATCTAGAAATATGTATACTGTTATTTTCATTTTTTTGCAGGTTTGCTCCTTATTTTCCTCCCTACTTCCTGAACTTTTCATGCTAATGGACTGACATTCAAATTATTTGTGAAATAGCATTTTGTAGATTAGATAACTAACGAAAGAATTTTTTTAAGACACTGGTTTTTTTCTGTTGTATCTTAGCTGCTTACTTTCAAATGCCACCTTAACTACTCCTGGTACCACATTTCACCTCGCAGAATAAGATTTGGGGCAGTATCAGAAATGTGCTTTTTATTAGTGATTCTCTTGGGGAGATATCGCATCTCTAGAGATCACGTAGTAGCTCAGTTAATAAAGCTCAAACACTCTTCAATCATGTGCTCAGTGAGTTAAAGTGCGATGCTTCATTAGGTAATAAGGACTCCAAAAATGCTGAACTCCAGAAAATAAATGGGATGAGCATGTTATAGCTTCCCTTCAACTCAGGGGTCATGCTACATA